TGTGATGCGAGATGGGGATTTAGTTTGCTAACACTCCTCCGCTCCCAGGGTACAAATCCTCTCCCCCTCATTTCTTAAAAAAAGTTTATATCATAATATTTAAGTCACTAATGTATCTGAGAATAGATAGATACCAGAACCACTGGGATGAGAGATAGTTATGGAAGACAACGACAATTCTCGGGTCACGCATCCGGGAACCAGAGAGGAGGGAGCCCGATTCTGGGTTGTGTCACCTGACAACTGCCCTCTCATAATCCAGGACCCCTCAGCAGGTATTGGAGAGTTGGTTTCGGCCCAATTCCCTGCAGGCCAGGCCGCAGGACCTCACCTGCCAGAGGGATCCCACTCATTCCACAGATACCCTTGAAGCCAAGGTGCTGCCCCAGGTGGAGCCTAATAGGGAGGGACCGGGGGAGGTTGGCATTAGGCTGTGTCAGACCCGTCTCAGCCAGTCCCACCCCACTTGTCACTTTCTAATTAATTTCCTTTCAATGTGCACAAGTCCATACACCCAGTCACTAGTAAAAGAAAATGATGTACTACTGAAATATCTTATGTCCATGTTCAATGCCATCATTTCCGCAGTTTGAATGTAGTTATGACATTTACACCTGGGAAATTTTCAACTACCACAACCTAGACTTCAATGTATCATTAAATGCTTAAACTTTAAAGAACACTGGTGGAGAATTAACAATGCAGATTTAAATGTATAAGTGTATGGTACAAGTGGGCTATAAATCATACATAGGGTAAAAATTGAGAAAAACCATTTTGTTTATAGAATTCAAAAACCAAGAATGCCATATGGCCAAAAAATCAGTCGAGTCACTGAGGACTAAGTGAAATTCAAACATATGTCTTAGAGGCTGCACCGCCCTCCTATTGGTTAGAATAGAATAATAAATTAAGTTTAAAAGTAAACAAAAAATCCTGAGCATTTTAACAAAGAAGATAAAGACAGTGAAAGAAATATATGAAGAAATCATCACCATCAAATATCTTTATGGAAATGAAGTTAAAACAAAAGCGAGTTAACAGTACACTCATTGATGCGGCTAGTACTTAAAGAGATTAACCTTTGCATGTGCTGGCAGAGTTGCATAGAATTTTCTAGGTGGGTGGGAAGGCAAACTGATTGACCATTTGAGGTCACAGTTCCATATATGTTGAAATGTACCACATTCACTGACAGTGGAACAGTTTAATAAAACATACATCTGTAGAAAGAATGGAATACAATATTCTGAGCTGTTTTATTTTTAAAACCCCAAACGTAGAAATAACTGAAATTATAGGCAGCTCAATAGTAAAAGTGGTTATCCATAGAATACAATATTTTCTAGAAATAAAAAATTATTTATATAAACATTAGTGTTAAATCTCAAACATCTGTATAGCATGAAGGAAGCCAGTGTTTGTTAAAGAGAATTCACCTTATAGTGCCAATAAATTTATGAAAAATATGAACTACTCTATTGTAAAGGAAGGTAAATCAATGTCTGCATGGAGGGTTGGGGAAGCAGAAATATTACAAAATGACTGGGGGTAAATACAGAGTGTGGCAAATTCAGGTTTAGAGTAGTTGGTGTTGAAAATAATGCACTAATAAATAACAACACAAATATAAAAACACCTTTAAAAAAAAAGATCATAAACCAGAGCAGAGGAGAGCACAGAGTTTGCAGGTTGGTGAGTAAAAAACCCCCAAAATTTATCAAAGCATAATGTGAGTACCACTATGTCCCTGAAAGAGGTAGCACTGCTTAGCTGAGAACAGCTGCTCTGGATGAATCCTGGGTCAGGTCCATTTTCTAGTCATAGAGAAATGAATGAAGATACTGCCAAGAGCTTGGAGGAATCATCATTACCTCAATCAGAAGCGAGAACACAGAATACATTCCCCTGAGCACCCAGGGAATGTGACGGATGCACACTCCTCAGGTGAGGCAGGTGTTAGCTATGAAACCTCTTTAGTGATAAACACTCACAGTGACATCATTTGGGTTGTAGGTCTGGACATGTTAGCAAGTACAACACAGATCCTTCAAGTCTCATTTGTACCTCAATTTTATGATGAATCTAGCAGAGTGTATGTTCTCATTAAAGGGGTTTACATTCATGTAAGTGGGTCCCATAGAGCCCCTTGAGTGTTCTTATTCTTAGTGAGAAAAATAAAACATTTCCTACACATTTACATCTTTTCTCCAGTGTGAAATTACAGGTGTCTAACCAGGTTATAGTTGTAGCTAAAAGGAACCCCACACTCACTACACTCACCAGTGTGAACTCTCTTGTCTTCACTGGGGATAGAGCTTTCACTAAAGGATTTCCCACATTAACTACACTCATATGGCTTTTATCGAGTGTGCACTCTGTGGTGCTTATTGAGGGTAGTCCTTTCACTGAAATGCTTCCCACATTCACTGCACTCATATGGCTTTTCTCCAGTGTGAACTCGTTGGTGTATAGTGAGGGCAGCCTTTTGTCTGAAATGCTTCCCACATTCACTACACTCATATGGCTTTTCACCAGTGTGAACTCTGTGGTGTTTAGTGAGGTGAGACCTCTGACGAAAGGATATCCCACATTCACTACACTCATATGGCTTTTCTCCAGTGTGAACTCTATAGTGTTTAGTGAGTTCAGCCCTTTCAGTGAAATGCTTCCCACATTCACTACACTCATATGGCTTTTCTCCAGTGTGAACTCTACGGTGTTTAGTGAGGGCAGCCTTTTCTCTGAAATGCTTCCCACATTCACTACACTCATATGGCTTTTCTCCAGTGTGAACTCTTTGGTGCACAGTGAGGTGACACTTTTGACGAAAGGATATCCCACATTCACTGCACTCATATGGCTTTTCTCCAGTGTGAACACTGTGGTGTTTATTGAGGGCAGCCTTTTCTCTGAAATACTTCCCACATTCGCTACACTCATATGGATTTTCTCCAGTGTGAACTCTTTGGTGTACAATGAGGCGACACTTTTGACGAAAGGATATCCCACATTCACTGCACTCATAAGGCTTTTCTCCAGTGTGAACTCTTTGGTGCACAGTGAGGCGACACTTTTGACGAAAGGATATCCCACATTCACTGCACTCATAAGGCTTTTCTCCAGTGTGAACTCTCCCATGTGGAGGGTGGTTAAACATTTGTCTACACACTTCCCCACATTTATTATACTCATAAATCATATCTCCAGAGCAGAGATCTTTCTGATAAGGAACTTTCTGTTTCTGGCTGTCAGCTCTTTCACATTCAACCCACTGGTGATGTCTTTTTCCACTGAGAAATTCCTGTGAAATCTCATTGTTACTGTGTGGCTCCATAGTGTTAAGAGTGGCTTGGTGCTGGAGAAGCCCTAACATGGCTGAGGAGTCTTCCCCAACCTCCATACTAGCTACAGGCATCCCAGATAAGTAGAAGCAGCAACAGGTCACAAGCGAGGGTCTCTCCATATCTTCTTTCCAGGGCTTCTCTCCACTGGCATCCTTCTGTTGCTGGTGAGGGTTTGCACTGGAACACAAGTCTCTCAAACATGCATCACTTAAGAACACATTCTTCTCAAAGTAAACCACTTGTAACTCACTCAGGTGCAAAATATCTTTTAACACTGAGAAGCATGGCTTACACAGATGGGTCCTCTGGGTGGCTGCAGCTGTCCTGGAAGCCCTGACCTGAGAATCTCCTATAGATACACAGTGCTCAGAATAGGCCTCCACATCATCCATCTTACGCCAAGGACCTGAAAACAGAGGAATGATGACGAAATGAATGTTGACTCTGGTGACAGCGGGAAGTCCCATTATAAAAGTGGGTTGCACATAATACATTGGTTTCATGCAATTGGCTGAAAATAAAAGACCTGAAAGATGGATTAGTAAGAGGTCACTCTGAAGTTCTTAAGCACTGAAGATCACAAAACAAGGGAGACTTCAGCAGAAATAGAGCAAAAACAAGACAAGTACCACATGGAGGAGAAGTGGACTGTCCAGCTCATTCTGCTGCTAACAGCATTCAGTAGATCAGTGATGGCGAACCTATGACACATGTGTCAAAGTTGACATGCAAACTCATTTTTTTGCTTGATTTTTCTTTGTTAAATGGCATTTAAATATATAAAATAAATATCAAAAATATAAATATTTGTTTTACTATGGTTGCAAATATCAGAAAAATTCTATTTGTGACATGGCATCAGAGTTAAGTTAGGGTTTTTCAAAATGCTGACACACCGAGCTCAAAAGGTTTGCCATCACTGCAGCAGATCTTCTATGCTGGTGACATGGGCAAGCTGTGCGGAAGGTTGGTTACATCTCATTCCAAGTAAAATTCAATAAACAAGTAGCTGCTATTTTAGGGGTATTTAAGCATGTACACTGAGTGGCCAGATTATTATGACCGGCCAGATTATTATGACCACCCCCATCAGTACAAAGAAATGAATCTGTTATGCAAAGAATAATAATAATAATAATAATGATAATAAAACCTTGAGAGTATCTGCTTAGGAAGTTTTCAATATTGAGTATTTTGGAAGTGTCAATCGAGTGCTGATGGGGTGGTCATTATAATCTAGCCACTCAGTGTATGTGCTCCTTATAACGCTTGCATAGGTCCATGTTGTAGTATACTGCAGAAAGAGATGTGCAAAGGAATAGGTGATGTAAAAAGGACACAAAGGCAAAGATAGCCAAAGCTAGAAAGCCACTGATGAAATGAGAAGCCAGCAAAGTGTCAAATATGGAAAAGGAAATGTATAAATGAGGGGTGGCCACTGGAACTTGCACCAAACATCATTAGACAGGAGCAGGTTCCTGGTACAATCTGAACACCATCCTTATGTCCTACCTCCCCCGAGCTGCCACTCAGCCAGGCCAGGCTTCCCCTAGGAACATCCTGTACGTTCACCCTGCAGAAACCCAGGGTTCTCTCTGCACCTCCTTCTCTAGAAATATCTACAAACTAAATATTCCAAGTTTCAATGAAAGACAACAGAGGTGAGCAGCCATCACTTGCCCATAGCATTTGGCTTGCAATAGTATTCACAGAAGGTAATATTACAAACAACAATGGAAGGAGGGTCTTACAATAACTGCAACTGGTTCATGTATATAAAGAAGATACCTGGCACAGGCATTCACCAAGGTCCTTATCTACAGGAAAGGTGCAGAAGTGGGGGAAATGGACCTGGATACAGTCACCCTTCCTGGGTGAGGAAGAGCAGGAGGGACCCATTAAACTGTCTGTAAGACTGCTGACACCCAGACACTTCCTGCAGTTCCTAAGGCAACTGGTGTTAGGGAAGTTTGTGGAGTCTATTGCTCAGGGCTCTCTGAGAGGTCAGCACTGGCAGCCATAGCCCATTTCACAAGACAGTGGGGGAAATGAGGAGAGCCCATGGTCTTGCTTTGAGAGAGACAGTGCTATGTCTGGAGAATAAATAAAGAGTGGGCATCACTTCAGGACACTAGGAGAGATGAAGGTCTTACCTACGAATGATACAAGTGAAAACACTTCCAGCATCACATCACAGTACAGACGTCTCTGAGCCTCATCAAGGATCTCCCCACTCCTCCCTGAGCGAATGCAATGGCCACGTCCTCAAAATTCATATCCTGTCATAATGAGGACAGTACATCCCATGATAAGATTCTCTCTTGAGATGCCAAGTTTGTCACACTCCCCACCTGGCACATCCATCTGCTTCCTCTACTCCCCACATCAGGGAAGACAGCAGGCCTTAGTCCCATCAAAGTCAATATCTCCTTATATTCCTACTAGAGGCCCGGTGCACAAAAATTTGTGCATTTGGGGGGGCCCTCAGCCCAGCCTATGCCCTCTTGCAGTCTGGGACCCCTCGGAAGATGTCCACCCGCTGGCTTAGGCCCACTCCCTGGTGGATCAGGTCCAAGCTGGTAGTCATACATTCCTCTGGCAGCCCGGCAGCCCTGGGGAAATGTCCACTTGCCAGCAGGGAGCAGGCCTAAGCTGCAGTCGGACATCCTTAGCCCTGCTGAGGAAGTGGCAGAGGCTCCCACCACCACCGCTGTACTGGCAGCCGTCAGCATGGCTTGTGGCTGAGGAGACCTCCCCCTGTGGGAGCGCACTGACCTCCAGGGGGCAGCTCCTGCACTGAACCTCTGCCCCCTGGTGGTCAGTGTGTGTCATAGTGACCAGTCATTCCTAGTTGTTCTGCTGTTAGGGCTGATGGCTGTTTGCAGCTGGTCATATCCCCTTCAGTGTGCGGGTCCCCACTGGGGTGCCTGGCCAGTCTGGGTGAGGGGCTGAGGGCTGTTTTCAGGCTGGCCAAGCCCCCTGGTGACCGAAGCTCCCAGCCTCTCCTTTTCTTTTCTTTTTTAATTCTGGGGTTTATGTACCTTCTATAATTGAAACTTTGTAGCTTTGAGAGGAGCTCAGAGCTGGCCAGGGTGGGCGAGAGGGAAGCCTGCTGGTCGCTCCAGCTCCATTGCCATGGCCAGCTGAAAGCAGGTATCTGGGGTTTATTTACCTTCTATAATTGAAACTTTGTTGCTTTGAGTGGAGCTCAGAGCCCACCGTGGCAAGCGGGAAGCTTGGCTTCCTCCATCATTGGGGCAACCAAGCCTCCTGCTTGCTCCAGCTCCGTGGCTGCCAGCCGCCATCTTGTTTGGTTAATTTGCATATAGTCGCTCTGGCTGACTGGTGGGCGTGGCTTAACCGCTTGAGTCCCAAGCACTGCGATCGCACTGCTGAGATTTTATGTTGAGAAAACCCAGCACATTTCGAACATTGTGGACAGCTGATGGTGCGTTACCGATTGTCGAAGTCGCGCGCTCAGATTTACTGATGCAAATACATCACACAGCTCCTTTTAATTAATATCCGTTTGAGTCCCAAGCAGCGCGATTGCGCTGCTTGGTATTTCTCGACATAAAATAAAACAAGCGCTATCACGCTGTTTGGGTCTTTTCGTACTCATTTAGAGAAAGCGCGGTTGCGCTGTTTGGGATTCTTTGACAGTGTTTTTTCAATACCCCCTAGGACTCAAACGGTTAAGGTGTAGCGAAGGTACAGGCAATTTGCATGTCTGTCTTTTATTAGTGCAGATTGATGCTGTGTCTCTCACAACAATAAAGGCAGATGAGCAGTTATAATATACCTGTGCTTTGGGCCTCAAATGAGAGTCAGACTGCCCCCTTTCAATAACAGTGGGTGCCAGTAACATAGGGTAGGATGAAATGTTGCACATAAAGGGAGTGTGAGTGACTTGACACTGGTCTTGTCAGGCAATACCCATGTTGTCCTCCAAATTGTCCCTCAAAGACACCAAAATGCTAATGCACATTACACTTCCGACTCCAATCCCAGTTTGCTGAGGCCATCACTTTGCATTACCCGCTGCCCACAGTTCTTTGATCCACACTTGTCTCACAGCTTCATTCCCAGAGGCACATCTTCACTAATGACATAAATAAGCCATCACAAGGACAGGTTGTTTTCTAACTAGCTTATTTTCTAAAATTCTAGTTCAGCACCTCTGTGATATATTTCTCTCTCAACCTTCTCTGTTCTCCCTTCCCATGCTGATGGAGATTTTCAAGTGCAGGTGACACTGATGTATGCTATCTCATTCCTATTGTTCACTGGGTCAGGCCTCAACTAGAAATGACAGGTGGGCACATATATGTCACCTAAGCTCTGGACCTCGTATGTAGCACCACAACAACCCATCTTGTTAGAAATTATCCTAAAATTTCCCATATCATATCATGAAGACACCATCAGAAATGGACGCCCTTTTCATTCACTCGTCTGTCAATGTTAGTGCCCGGCTGCTCTGGTTTTAGTCCCAGGACCACACTGATGTCATCATGCCCTGTGGGTGACTGTGCAGCTCAGCCCGGTTCCCCCACCTGCTACACTGACATAAAGAGCACCTCCCATACTGTTCTTTGGATCTCTTATCCTCCAAACCCCGCTCACCCTCTCATGCCTTTTTTTCTGAGGTTTGAAGGTCTCTTTGATGCTTTTGTCTCTGAATGTATTTTTTTTCATCACTTTATTCCAGTGGTCCTCATCCTTCCTAATGCCGCGATCCTTTAATAAAGCTCCTCGTGTTGTGGTGACCCCCAAAAACAATATATAATTATATATGTGTTTTCCAATGGTCTTAGGCCACCCCTGTGAAAGGGTTGGTTAACCCCCAAAGGGGCCGTGACCACAGGTTGAGACCGCTGGTTTATGCTGTTCATTATATTCCACAAATGATGATATCATGTGATACTGATCTTTCTCTGACTTGCTTATTTTGTTTAGCATAATGCCCTCCAGGTAATAAATTCATTTTAAAAATTGTTAAAAGATTCTGAGCAGACATTTTAACAAATATGATAAAGACAATGTGAATATATGTATGAAACAAATCCTCACCATCAAAAATTGTAAGGTTAATGAAAGTAAAACAAAGGTGAGGTAATCCTATACTCATTTATTGGGCTAGTATTTAAAAAAAATTACCATCATATGTGCTGGCAGAGTTGCAGAAAAACAGGAACTTTCATTACTCTGGGTGGAACTTTCATTACTCTGGGTGGAACTTTCCCCCCAGAAGGAAATAAGCATTTTAGATCACAGTTCCACATATCTTACCATGTAAAACATACATCTAGATAATGAA